AGAGGGTCAATGTGTCAGTGAATCTGTGTTACTAAGCTTCTGTCTGGACTCACGTTCCACAGCTGACCATGATGCTGCCCACTCTGTCAGTGAAGCCGTAGGAGAAGAGGCTGGGCACATCATCGTCCATGATCTCCATCTTCCTGCCCTTGAACTCCCCCACCTCGTACAGGCAGATCTTGTGCTTCTCTGGGTCCTGGGGGGGGGGAGGAGGAGGGAGGAATTAGCTGAGTCAGTGCAATCTTCTTCAGGAGTAGCCCCAGCGATTACGTCTTTAAGAGAGCGGCAGGAAAGCTCAGCTCCACGCACCCACACCCCTTTATGTAAAGGAAGAGAAACTCATACCTGCCCTAAAAGATTTAGAAAGAGAAGTTAACAGAAGTGGATAATATTGACCTCGGAAGAGGAGGCTACCCCCCTTCTCAAAAGTGTGACTTCATCCAAGACCCCGAAAGTCACAGAATCAGGGGACGCTGCTACTTTGTGCACAAAACGCCAAGGCAGCCTTGGGGCACAGGCAAGGGACACAAGTGGCACAGCTCCTCACGGCGGGGGGGGCGGGATCTCAGATACGGCTGTGGGCGACGCTGGCAGAAAGGCTGAGGGGAGGGTTACCATTCGGACAGGCCGGAAGGACATCATCCACTCGTTCCTGTAGCTGTTGCTCCAGCTGTCCCAGCGAGGGTACTCGCCCTTCTCCAGGATGTACATCTCGCCACAGAAGTTCATCTGCTCGTAGCCCACCCAGCTGCGCGGAGAGGGAGAGAGGAGAGAGCAGAGCTGAGGCTCAGCACTACAGCACAGACACGCCGACCCCTGCACTGAGCCGCACTGCGAGAGATGGGGATAGTGGCGATACGTGCCCAATCCGTGCAGTTTACAGTGAATTGAGATCGTCTTGGCAGATGATGCAGTGGATGTATTGTATTAATCAATCAATATGTCCTTCAAGACTACACTCAGGTGGTGCAATGCTTAGCATTGCTGGCTTGTAGCCCTGGGGCCCAAGGTTCAATTCCTGGGGTGCTGTCTGCGTGGAGTTTGCGTGTTCCCCCTGTGCCCGTGCGGGTCTGCCCTGCGTGCTCTGGTAGTGCCGTCCACAGATGGCGAGGTCAGCCCGTGACCCTGTGTCGGATGGAGCGGATGACGCCCAGTGCCGTGCGGAAAGCGTGTGGGCGGCGTGTCTCGGTGGTCGGTGTCGCCCAGCAGCGGTCAGACACTCACGGTCCACATTCGACCCGGATGGAGCGGACTCTGTCGATGCCGCTGTCGCAGATGCTCATGCACTCTCCAGAGAACTCCACACAGCGACCCTGGAAGTTCTCCTGGTCGAAGACGTACATCTGCGGCGGGCAGGGAGGGACAGAGAGGTCAGGGGAGAGAGAGAGGGTCATGTCTGACCGTGCTCCGAGTGCCGGGCTGTGGCGGTCTGTCTTTATTGTTTTATCCATGTGTGTGACATTGCTTGGCTGTTTTTTTGTTGTACATCTGTAATGTTTTCTGGTTTGAGTCTGAATTGTCTCTCTGTGCAGGGAGGTGCTAAAAGTGTCTGAAGTATTCATACGCTGCCCCACAGTGGTTTCCTGTGTATTTCCAGAATATTACTACAGTTTACTTTTTTTACCACCTTTCCAGGCTGTGTTGCAGTGTTGTGTTGTGTTGCACAGTGTTCCTGTGTGTTGCAGGATATGGGTGTGAGTCTCCAGGCTGTGTAGTTCAGTGTTGTGCTGTGTTGCACAGTGTTGTGTTGTGCTGTGTTGCACAGTGTTCCTGTGTGTTGCAGAGTGCAGGTGTGATTCTCCAGGCTGTGTAGTTCAGTGTTGTGTTGTGTTGCACAGTGTTCCTGTGTGTTGCAGGGTGCAGGTGTGAGTCTCCAGGCTGTGTAGTTCAGTGTTGTGCTGTGTTGCACAGTG